TTCATTATAATTTGATGTGGGGACTGATATTTAGCTGGGCTCTCATTTTCCCTACCTCTTCTGCTCTAGAAGATCAGAAATATAAAACTGCCAGAAAGGTGATACTGTTTTTCTGATGTGTCAAGCATTTTTGAAAAGGACAAGGTTTACTGCTAAGACTCCTGTTTGATGTTTGAACGGAAACACTGTGTGGCATTTAAGTCTCTCTCTGCTGGCTGTCAGGCAGTCAAACTCCAGGCCATAAAACCACCTTTTCAGACTGTTGTTTCTTTAAGCCAAAAGGTATGTGTCTGCCCCTTGAGGTCCTCTGGGGCCCAGCAAGGAGACTGGCCTGCCTAGAGGAGACTGTGCATGTAGAGGAATTGCTGTGAGACTGGCTAGTCTTACAGCTATGGCCAATTTCCAGTGATCAATGGGACATTGCTGAATGCAAAGATAGGAAGAGATACAGAGTAGCATACCGTCAACATGCATCTCTGCACAGATGCAATAGACCTAGCCTCAAGTAAAAAACTCGGTAAAATAATTGGGAAGTGACAAGTTTGACTGTGTTACCTTTGTTTTTAAAATTATTTAAGTTCACGTAACTTCAGTATTAATAATGGTTCTGTTTAACAACTATTTAGTAAAATCCCTAAAAAACTAAATAGTTGGCTCTCATAAACCTGTACGAGTGAGCTTTAGTACACCACTGGCTGGGAAGAAACGTGGGCATCACGTGGCACCTAAGGTCAAGCTCACAGCACTCCTGGGGTATCCAAATCTATCTGCGCAGAATTTAACAGGGGCAGGAATGACCAGTGAATGGGTGGATGGAAGCAAAGCCTGGAAAATGCTATTTGTTGTGTCTGTTTTGACCCTGTTTCTATTTCTGGATCATGGGCAGCAACTGAAACCCTATCTGATGTGTGGCCACTGAGGTCTCCCTCTGCAAATGCAGCTGTGTGAAATACTTCCATCGTGTGCCGCTCCCCTCAAGGAAAGCCTGCTCCCTGATAAACTGGACAGAGCTAAAACTTGGTCAGGCATGGTGGCTCATGCCTGTAATCCCAGCATTTTGGGTGGCTGAGGTGGGTGGATGACCTGAAGTCAGGAGTTCAAGACCAGCCTGGCCAACATGGTGAAACTACATTTCTACTAAAAATACAAAAATTAGCTGGGCATGGTGGTGGGCATCTGTAATCCCAGCTACTCAGGAGGCTGAGGAGGAGAATCGCCTGAACCCAGGAGGTAGAGGTTGCAGTGAGCTGAGATTATGCCACTGTGCTCCAAACTGGGCAACAGAGTGAGACTCGGTCTCAAAAAAAAAAAAAAAAAAAAAGCTAAAAGTTGCCCCCACCTTTTTCTAGACTATGTGGTTGTATCCTGAAGGCTCACTCCCTTGGTCAGCTCCTCATGCCCTGGACCAAGTCACAGGGCAGGTCCCAGGATGCCCCTCAAACACCCACAGTGAGTAGTGCCTTCTGCCTGAGCCTCAGAGGCAGCCGAAGGATGTCCAGCTTGGACTGGCAGCTCCGAGGCCTGCAGGAGGCTCTGCCCAGTCATTTGCCAGAGCACAGTTGAAAACAGCCCAAGTCCAGGAAGAGAAAGGGTTATGGAAATGGATCTGTGTAAAGACACAGCATGAGTGCAATTAATTGTTGTCAAAGCATTTTGCTGGCTGCATTCATCTCTTCTGTAGGAGAACAAAACTGTCATAACGATGACAATTTTATTCAACATTGGTGCAATTACCAAGCCTAAAAATAGTACACAAAGGGGAGATTTTCTTGAGAGGGCTGAGCTCGGCTACCCACGTTGTATGCCTGGGACAGTCCGGCCCCAAGATGGAGAGAGGAAACGAGAAAGCGAAGATTCATTGACTCTCATCATGTGCTACTAGGAGGAGCATTTTACCTGTTTTTATCTACATAATCCTTCCTTCCACTCTTTGGAGGGAGGGGCAGTGGGGTGGAGAGCACTTGAGGACCAAGATTGTTGAGCACCAATTGTGAGACAGGGTCAACAGCATTCTGTACATAATTTCCTTCAATTATCACGACAATACTCAAAGGGAGGTATTATTAGCCCCATTTTACAGATAAGAAAATTGATTCTCTAAAGGTTAAGAAGTTTGCACAAGATCCTGTAGCCAAAGTCCTTCGGATTATCCAGTCATTCACATAGAGTTGCTGCTGTGAAACATGTGAGCTCAGCAGAGCCGCACTGCTGTCCCATCTTCATCCCCTTTTCCATCTCACATCCCATTGTCCCCCCTGGACTCTGTCACCCTTTCAAGAATGAGAAAATGGTCAAAGACTTGGAGTCAAAAAGCCTTGGGTTGAAGTCTAGGCTCCATGACTTATTAGCAATTGTGACCTTGGCTCAATGGCTAGACCTCTATAAGCTTTAGTATTTTCAGATACATCAAAGACAACAATCATTCCCACTCCACAGCATTGTTGTGGGGATTAAATGAGACCACATGTGTCAAGTGCTTTGCAGAGCATCCAGCACATAACAAATACGTGATGGCAGTGGTCATCATTATTGGCAGAGAACATGGCACTGAAAAGAGGGGTAGATCCCAGCCTGACCTCCATTCAGGATACTATAGACAGGAACAGGGCCTCGGGAGGGCGGCAGCATCCGGGAATCTTCACTCCTGTCCCACGTGGCCAGTTGACTTCACGGTCCTCCCAAAGGGAGGGACCTCACCCTGGAATAGGCACAGGGCAGGGTAAGGATGGTGATACAGTTTGAATGTATGCCCCCTCCAAATCTCATATTGAAATGTGATTCCCAATGTTGGAGGTGGGGCCTGGTGGGAGGGGACTGGATCGTGGGGGCGGATCTTCCATGAATGGCTTAATGCCATTCCCTTGGGGATGAGTGACTTCTCACTCAGTTCACATGAGATCTGGTTGTTTAAGAGTCTGAAACCTCTCCCTTCTCTGTCTTGCTCTTTGCCATGTGACACGCCTGCTGTCCTTTTGACCTCCACCATGACTAGAAGCTTCCTGAGACCCTCACTGGAGGCAGCAGCCATGCTCATACAGCCTGCAGAATTGTGAGCTAATTATACCTCTTTTCTTCATAAATTACCCAGGCTTGGGTATTCCTTTGTAGCAACACAACAATGGGCTGGCCCAGATGGTGGGGAAAACTCGCCCTCTACAGTCAGGTGTGCTGACCACATGCAAGGTGCTGTTCTAAGTTATTTGCAGGTATGAACTCATCTAATCTTTAAGAAAGCCAATGTGGTAGGTGCCATTATTCTTCCACCTTAGCAAAGTGAAAAGTAAGCTTTAAGCCACTCTTCCAGGTTACCCTCTGACCCTTTCTCTGGGCACAGCCATGCCAGGCCTATAGCTCTACCTCTCTCATGGAATGGGAACCAGTTCATCAACACCACCTTCAGGAGATGACTCTGCCCCCGGGAAGCTCTCTCCTTGACCCAGGATTGGAAAGGTGAGCTCTTTGTCTCTCAAGGAAAATATTCACTTTGTGCTTTGAAAAACAGAGGAGTTTCTCCTGCTTTTTCCATCTTCTTCCCTTTGGTCACTTCTGTGGGATAAATAATAAGAGACTGGACAATAAGAACAAAATTATGTGAGAAGAGGCAGACTTGGGTTTAAACGCCAACTCTAGCTAGATACACCTGTTGGTTGCTGTGGATCTCTGCAAGTGGCTCCCCTCCTCAGTTTCCTCATCTATAAGGCAGAGATCGTATCTGCCTTGTGGTACTGTCATGAGGATCAGGGAAAAGCATATGGAGCATCTAGATCACTGCCACATGCCTTGGTTTATAACTAGTGTTACTTGGCCACATATTTACAGCATCAAGCTCTTGTTCTGGGCTACGTCATCTAGAGAGGACTCACCTTCCCGGAGTCTCCTGAGTTCCCTCATGGGTGAAGTGGGGATGAGAACATCTAACCTGCTGTGCAGGACCCCTGTGAGGAGCGGGTGAGGTCACCATGTGAGCACTTTACACAGTGCCTGGCACACAGCACCAGGCCCCATCAACTGTGCTCATTACTCTTATCCTTATCATCATGATTAGCTTCTCCCAGGAACTGAAAATTCACCAAAACACCCAACAGATCACTAGAATTATTTCCCAATCACAACTTGTGGGATGGAAATATCTGGATGGTTCTCTTTCATAGGCCTAACAGCTGTCAGGCCAGGGACAGTGGTTCATGCCTGTAATCCTGGCACTTTGGGAGGGGAAGGTGAGCAGATCGCTTGAGCCCAAGAGTTTGAGACCAGCCTAGGCAACATGGGAAAACCCCATCTCTACAAAAAATGCAAAAATTAGCCGGGTGTGGTGGTGTGCACCTGTAGTCTACTTGGGAGGCTGAGGTAGGAGGGTCACCTGAGCCCGGAAAGGTCAAGGCTACAGTGAGCCATGATTGTACCACCTGCACTCAGCCTGGGTGACAGAGTGAGACCCTGTCTCAAAGAAAAAAAAAAAAAATTCTGGTTTCATTTTAATGGTCTTTGTGTACTTGTGTCTCCTGTTTTGAACCACTTCAAATCGTTTTGAAAGGAGGCAGAGTATAAAAACAAAACAGCTCCACGGTGAGAAGTAACATGGACCATTCACCTTCTACATCCAGCTGCATTTGCAGGACGGCTGTGCAGTTAGATCAGCACCTGCAGCCTGCAATCCAAGGCTTGCCTTGCCGGATGAGGGCCCTCAGTCTTCTCAGGAATTAATTCAAAGCCAGGCCCAAGCAGCCCCAAAGGTAACTGTATCCCTAATAGCAGTTACCTGGTCAGTAAAAAAGGTACTGGCCAAGGGGAATCCTTCTTCCAAAAATCACCACCTCAAATTCTCCAGTTTTATATCAGAAACCTCAGAGTAAAAGTCTGCCTTTTGATTTCCACAGAATTTTTAGTAGCACGATGCCTTTTTGAAAATTTGCCTTTTCTTCCTATCAGTTTTCCAACCATATGTAGACAAATCCAGCCTGTAAATAGGTTGAAATGAGAGAGCCAGTTAAGTGAGACACTCAAATTGTCGCTGCATTTTAATAAACATAGCGCACAATGTGTTGCTCCACAAACACCATTCATAAACCTGAGTCACAGGTTTCAGATGGGAGCTGGGGACGTGTATAAATAGCCTGTGTATGCTAAACAGTAGGGAAAAAAGAAGTTTGGGGAATAAGGTCAAAATCATTACGCCCAATTTAAACATCATAAAAATCTCAGCCTTGTCATTATTTACAACCCCCAGCACAACTCCCACCCGAAAGAGAATGCCAAATGGAAAATTCTAAATAAGATGATGTCCTCACGTCGACCTAACCAGTACAAATGATGCAGCATCATAAAACGAAGTTATAATTATATTGTCGCCCTTCCTGGCTGCTGGATGCCCACGGTACAGAGCAGCCACTCCACAGGATTTTCTGAGCTCTGAGCTGTCTGGGGTTTTTATAAGAACATAGCTTTGACTAGCATTGACCAATTGATTTGCATTAAATGACTGTGATGGCTTGAGGTGGCAAAAGAATAATACAACTTGTGTGGTGGAGAACTAACACTTTGAACATGTTGCAAACATTTCAAAAATCCATCTTTCCAATATTCACCCATCCTCAGCTTTCAACAGGTCCCTGCAGCCTTGGCCTTGACTCTGGGTTGTTCTGTTCCTTAGCAAGCACCTTCCAGCCTTCCAGCCTCCGCTCCCATGGCCCAGGAACCCACTGTGAACTTGCCAAGTGCTGTTCAATGAAGTGGATTCAGGAAGCAGCAATTCTCTCTCGAGAGAGAGGTCTAGTGTTTCGTCACGTACTCCCCCACACCACTGATGTTCAGAAGGGCTCTGTGACCCCATGTGTGGGATTCGAACGCCAACGATTGACACACAGGGCGACAACAGATGCGCAGGGTTAAGTCGGCTCCCAGCTGCTGCGTGATCCCAGCTCCCGTTCGTCAGACTGCCTGCCAGGTCTCTTTCTCACATTTCCCCATTCTGGTCCCTCCTCCAGTCACCAGCAGAAATGCAGCTCTCGGTCTCAGGCCTCTCCCATCTCAGTCTCTGATGACGTGCATGGCCTTTGTGTTAAGAGCTCACTAAAGTGTAGATCATGCTGAATGCAAAAGTAGAAGGAAAAGAAGGGATTAGTGGAAGCCCACAGAGGACTCAGGCTGCCCCTCAGGAGAGGGACCCCTTGGCTTCTCCCTCATTCCTGTCACTACAGTATCTCACCCACTCCACTGCTGTGCCCCTTCTACTTCCCACAACGCTGGAATAAACATTTTTGGGGAGAGCATATTGTGTCCCTTGGATAAAAGATGTGATTGCGCTAAGTGCCTATTATTATTCTCATCAGGATGATGATTAGGGTTGGTTTTTCTTTTCATGCAATTGCAGGGCAGGCCTGGGGTGGGGGTGCAGTGGATGCTTTATGCCATTAGCCACCACACGCTTGTATGACGGCTGTGTCCAGGGCCTCCCAGATGATGCTGGATAATATGTTAGTGCTGGCGAAAAGATCATCAGCACTATTGCAAAGGCCAGTGTGGGAACATAAGCCCTCTGGGCACGAGAACTCAATGAATTCTTGATTGGGTAATTCCCTGGCTCTCCTATTTTCAATGGGCTCCAGGAATTAAACATACATTAAAAGCATGTGACCTTAAGTATTGCCCCAATACTACTAAGAGTGGTGATGAAGGGGACATGTACCCTGTGCTCTTGGTAAGAACTTCAGGTTAATTTTGCAAAGCTGAGGAACGATCTGTGCCAAAATATACCTCTGTCTATCAGAAAAAAAGCCCAACCACCTTTTCACATTATAGTGAGAAAAAAAGACTCATCTAAGAAGTAAAACCAAAGGAAAGAAATGAATAGGTTTTACTTCTAACCCTGTGGAGCGGTGGAGGCCCAGTGAGCTCTTCTGAGTAGCTGAAATTCCAGCTTCGGGAACCTGACACACCTCATGTGCACAGAGAACCAGTGGTCAGACCTGGAGCAAGAGGGACTTGCTCTACTTGGAGAAGTTGAGGGCCAGATGGGGAGTGGCTTGCTCAAGGTCACACAGCTAGTCACAGAAGGGGGAGAAGCCACATCCTAACTCCAAAGCCAGAGCTTTTTGCATGATAGTACTAAGCCTCATGTGGATACTTTTGTTTACTCACTTTCATTCATTCTTTCATTGAATGTTTATTGAGCACCTGCTGCATGCCAGACACTATTCTCCGTGCTGGGAAAAATGCTGAGTGTGCGGCCCCAATTCCTGCCTTGAGGAAGCACACAGCTAAGCTGTAGCAGCAGACCACGAGGGTTCAGTGAGCACCAGGCACGGGCCAGGACACTGCAGACGCAGAGGTGAATGAAACCAACACGGTCCCTGGCATCAAGGAACAAGTCAACCATAAATAACATAATTGTAGATGAAGAGAAATGAACCTGAGGAGGGGGGCGGCATGATCCAGAATAACTGTGCAGGAGGGTAGTCCTACTACTTTAGGTTTGAAAAAATCTTTCTGCAGAGCAGACACTGTGCACTCTGGGCTGGCTGGCTAGTATCTGCATCAGCTCGCCCCCTTCTAACACAACCCGCAAATATCACCTGATCCACAAGGCAAACTGAGAAGTGGGCTGATGAGTGCCATGTGGTTCAAGCAGGATAGAAGAAAGAGCACAGGCTCTGAAGCCAGATGGCGCCAATTATTGGCCGGGACTTGAGACACATTTCTTAACCTCTCCAAGGTCCTCAGGAGCCCCCCAGGAGGCTCAAACCGTAACCATCAAGCCCGTCTTCCCCACTGCTGTTACGTGGGCCTCTAGCCCTGAGCTCAGTTCAGACGTGGCTCTGCACCCACATGGGTCCCCTTCCCTCCCTGCCACGGTGGCCTGTGCTGATGCTCCTGTGCTCTCCACCAGCTCTGGATCTGGGGGACCGGCAGCTCCTGAGGTGGGAGAAACAGAGTCTTTAAAGGAGCCCCGAAGGGCACCAAGGTGCCAGATTTAACAAAGAACGTAGATGTCGGTGGCCGCCACCCAGGGTCCCCGTGAGGCTGCAGGAACTGACCGTTTCCAATTGTGTTTTAGAAACAAAGTAATTAGCGCATGCAACATGAAGGCAGGGCCAAACTGAAGTAATGAACTAGAGGACAGTCAAACAGAATGTCTGGAACATACTCGGTTCAGAACGATCATGCCCATCTAACCGAGAGAAGCTGCCAAACCCACCCCACCCCGCCCCCTCCCACCCCCGCAGCTGAGCACCCACAGTCACTTCCCTCCCTGTGATTTCATAGGCCTTCTTCCCGGCGACGCCTCGGCTCCAGCAGTTCCTGCGCAAAACTGAAATGAGGGAAATGTCTTGCCTCCATCTTCATCCACACTGAGGTGGATCCCAGGCTAAAGGGCAGGAGCTAATGAAAACGCTGGTGTCGTTCTGCTGGCTTAGAGGGAAGACAGTGCTGTCTCTGGGGACAGGCCACTCAGCCCATGACCCTGCAGAAGGGGAAGTCTGTGGCTCCACAAAGAGAGCAGGGTTGAGCACACTGCAGGGAAGACACCTAACCTCCAAGGTGTCAAGTCGCTAAGCCCATGACGGCTTTGTCCATGCTCAGTAGTTTCCCAAGACAGGAACCCATCTGACAAGCCTTCGGATGTTAAATAGTTCAGACTTGGAGTCAGAAAGACTTAGGTGAACCCACTGGGCACCGGGGAAATCTCCCGAGGCTTCAAAGACAATCAGGCTCCCTGCAAGCTGGAGCAGTAACACCCCGGAGTGCCCCGCAGAGTCTGCACACACTAGGGACGCAAAGGGGAGGGAAGACAGAACCAAGCAGAATGCTCCAGAGCCACCGAGGTGAGCATCAGGATTGTCCTGAGCTTGTTTAAAATGCAGAGGCCCAGATCTAGAAAGTTTGAATAAGTAGCTACAAGCCCAGGAACCTGCATTTTTAAAAAGCACACCTTCCTCCCTTCCTTACCACTCACTTTGATAAAGACTTTTCTAGAGTATTCTAAAACAGCCAGCAGTTAAGAGCTACTGGACACGGTGGCTCACACCTGTAATCCTAGCACTTTGGGAGGCCAAGACGGGTGGATCACTTGAGCCCAAGAGTTCAAGATGAGCCTGGGCAACATGGCAAAACCCTGTCTCTGCAGAAAAATACAAAAATTAGCCGGCCACGGTGGCACATGCCTATCATTCCAGCTACTCAGGAGGCTAAGGCAGGAGGATCCCTTGAGCCTGGAGTTCGAGGCTGCAGCGAGCTATGATCCTGCCACTTTACTCCAGCCTGGGAGACAAAGTGATACCCTCAAAAAAAAAAAAAAAAAAAAAAGGAAAAAGGAGTTCAGTCTTTGAAATCGGGACCCAGGATGGACTACTTACAGATACTATTGGCTGTGACTTCAGGAAAATTATCTACCTTCTCAGATTCAGTTCATAGGCAAACGAGGATAGCATGTATCTCATAAATTGAGCAATACGTGTAAAGCTCTGAGTGCAAAGTCTGGCTCATTTTTAAATGTCAGAACTTTGGGAGGCTGAGGCAGAAGGGTCACTTGAGTTCGAAACCAGCCTGGGCAACATAGTGAAATCTCGTCTCTACAAAACATTTTAAAATTAAAAAAAAAAGGGTCGGGCGCGGTGGCTCAAGCCTGTAATCCCAGCACTTTGGGAGGCCGGGGCGGGTGGATCATGAGGTCAAGAGATCGAGACCATCCTGGTCAACATGGTGAAACCCCATCTCTACTAAAAATACAAAAAATCAGCTGGGCACAGTGGCGTGTGCCTGTAATCCCAGCGACTCAGGAGGCTGAGGCAGGAGAATTGCCTGAACCCAGGAGGCGGAGGTTGCGGTGAGCTGAAATCATGCCATTGCACTCCAGCCTGGGTAACAAGAGCGAAACTCCGTCTAATAAAAAAAAAAAAAAAAAAAATTAGCCAAGCATGGTGATACACACTTGTAGTCTCAGCTACTCAGAAGGCTAAAGAGGGAGAATCGCTTGAGCCCAGGAGTTCAAGGCTGCAGTGAGCAGTGATCACACCAGCCTGGGCCAAACAGTGAAACTCCATCTTTAAATAGAAATTTTTTAAAAATTAAAAATTATAAATGCCAGACAAATGCAGCCACATTCTTACCAGCCACAGCCCAATCCAAACATGGGGGGGCGGTGGAGTCCAACATCCCAGCCCCTCCTCTTCTTCCCCTGGCTGCTGTCAACCATGCCCTTTTGGAGACATCACTGGAAGGTTTAGAGGTCACCATGGCCCTGCCACAGGTAACAATGGAATCGCAAGTGACAAGCGAGTCCCCAGAGATAAGCCAAAGAGGAGCAGGAAGGAGAAGGAGGCATTTTCAGAAAAGGCATTCTCTGGCGTGTCAAACCACAAGACAGTCTGTTTATAGCTATCTGCTTAGTTAGGACGTTCTGAGCGGAGAGGTGAAAAGAGAGGAGATTCCTGAACAGGACTGCAAAGTCGGCAGGTTTCTCTTAATTGGAATGGTGTTATATAATATTGGGGAAATTGTAAATGAAGCATTTAGCAACCCAAAATGCCACTTTATGAAGCGTGACAGCCACTGTGGGGCTGGGACAGGGAGTTTGGGGCCTCTGTTATGGCTCCCAAGAATCCTTGCAAACAGGCTAGGGGGAAAGCGGCAGTAAGGATGAGTCCCCGGGGCCACAGGCAGCCTGGTGGGCTAAGCTGAAGAGTTGTGAGAGGCAGAAGCCCTACAGGGAAGGAGGAGCAGCCAACTGCACTTCACCAGTTATCTCCAAGGGACGTTGAGAGAGTTTTCACTGTGTGGCCCTGAGGGTGTGCCAGCAGCAGGCAAGGCCTCCTACAGGATCTCTGGCCCCCTTACTTGTTTAAGTAAGGAGCCCTTGCTCCTGAGCCAGTCAGACAGCTGGGACCACACCGACTGGCCATGACTGCCACCCTCACAGGCCCTCTCCCAAAGGCCACCTCCCCGAGGCCAGCCTGAAATTCCCTTCCATGTGCTGCAGGAGTCAAAACCACAAGGAGGGGCAGACACTCACCAGTAAAGATAGTAGAAGAAGGAGAGGAGATAGAAGGCCAGCTTACACCAGGCCTCCTTCTGACAGTAACTCAAAGTGTCAGCATTCATGACCACCGGTGGGTCGTAGGCTAGTTCTGAGCTATCTGCTGGACAGTGGAAATACCTGCAGGGAGAAAGGACAGCATTGTCTCTGAGGTCCTGGTACTTGTGGCATCACCCGGGCAAGCCCTTCTGAAGCAGGACTTCTGCTGAGCAATCCCTGCCAAGCAATTGCCTGCCTTCTGCCCAAGTTACAGTTCCGGTGCTGCTGGAAACTGGCTCAGCCACTATCTTCCAGCAGGTAGTAAGTCCCCAAATACTTCGATCACTGGCATCAGGGCAATTTCACCAATATACAAAGCTGCTCCAACAGAAGGGGAAATGTTTCACCTGGCATTGCCTGGAAGTCTGAGGAAGAGCCTCCTCTCAGGACAGGTGTAGGCAGAGGTACAGGGCTATACCGCCACTGCTGGGACACCACCGTGCCTCCATTCTACCCTACGAACTACTTTACACAGACCCTCATTGAAAATCCTGAATACTTCAGGACATCCTATTCCCTCTTGAGTGCAGAGCAGTTTACAGGTGCTTCCCTTCTTGATAGTGGGACCTAGAACTCAAAAAGAACATCAGCCGTCTGTGGGGAGGGAGCTGCCTCTGACGGCAGCTGGGTGAGCGGAAGAACGTGGGTGGGGGAGAGGAGGAGGCAGAGCAGATAACATGAACTGTGTCTACTTCAAAATACCAAGTTCCCAAGGCTCAGCTGGCCACAGCCCCTGAGGAGGGGAGCCCTCAGGCTTGGTGAGACCTGGGGCAGGAGTCTGAGCCTCCTGAGCCCCTGGGAAGTGGTCACTGCCCTCAGGACACTGCCCCCAGGACCCTTGGCCACAGCCACAAAGTGCAGCTGGAATCTTTCAGCGAGTTCCTTTTTCAGTCATTCTGGTAAGGGCACCAGAGGCCAGGAGTGCAAATAAATGGCTTCCTAGACTCCGGGACAGACAGTGGTTCTCAGTGGTGAGCATGGGCCCAGGGAGAGGGCTCCAGCTGGGAGATGAATCCCACTGGCTTTGAAGAACATCCCTGCAATGTAGCAGCTCGCAGATCCGGCATCGCAGTTCCTTCCTCCTTCCCCTTCAGAGAATTGCACTGACGTTATCTGTCACTGACACTGTGCTGAAAAGAAATCACAAGCCAGATTCGATGACAACTGCCAGCTCATAGCCCTCCAGGCCACTCACCTCTCCTCTTCCTGGGAGCCTATCTCAAAAGCTATTTGCTGTCACTGTGGTTTTGTTCCCAGGTGACCTCATTAAGTAGAGGCAGAGGGGCAGGGTAGCCAAGTGGCTCCATGGGAAGAGCAAAGGCCCTACCAGTCACCAGTCACTACACTGACCTTCCTTGGGTCTGAGCCTGTCTGAGCCTCAACTTTCTCTTCTGTGAAATGGGGATGGAATCGCCTACCTCAAAGGGCTTTTGTGGCCATTATGTGAAGCGGTGAAGGGAAACAACCTGCGAAGAACAGGTACTGAGTCAACAGCAGACAGTTCTATTTCCTTTAAGCAAACTAAGAGCCAGAGCAGGAGGGGACTTTCTCTGTACGAGACATGTCACTGGACTGGACCTGTCGGAAGGGAAGGAGAGTGGAAAGGGGGAAAAGGGATACACAAGGGTTCTGATTTTTAAAGGACTCCTCCCATCCTCATTCTTTTTTTTCTTTCATGTTCTGAAAAGTTACTAATTGCCAGGAACTAGACTAGTTCCTGTCAGGGATTCAAAAAGAGGTGAGACAAAGTCCCTATTGGCAAGGAGACTACAGCCCCTCCCTTTTCCCATAGAGATAAACTTTCAAAGTCTAAGGACACTGGCTGCCTTTCCTTCTCCTCCCTCTTGGACAAGCACTAGCCCTACAAAGCAGTGCCCTGATCCATGCGTGGCCAATTAACCACATTTCCAATGCCCTGGCTTGACAGCCCCCTGCTTGAAGGAACTTGGGACAAACTCCTTTCCTGGGGAGAAGAGCCAGCCCCTGGGGCAGTGTGTCAGACAACAGGGACTTGGACTGGGATTCATACAGAGGTGGGGTGGAACCTCGGCCCAGCCACATCCGAGATGAGCAACGCTGGACAGCTGACATAACTCGGTGAGTCTCTGTGTCCCCATGTGTCAAACACAGAAAACGAAATCCCCCTCACTTGGTTGTTGTGAATCCTGGATCCCGACTGGGGACTCGATACATTTCCATGCCATAACTTCTATTTGACGTCTAATTCAGAGGATGCAGATTGCCTTTACTTAAAGTGAGGCTTCTCTATGTAAACAAATATTTTTTCTTCCTCCCTAAACCTGAGATTTCTTCTACCCTGCTGGCCCTGGTCAATGGCACCATCAACCACCCAGCCACCCAGCCTAGAGGCTTCCCCTCCCTCACCTGCACCCAATTATGTATGGGCCAAGGCCCGTCCAGTCCACCTCCATGGGTTCTCTTGTTCTCTCACCATTCTGACTCCCACTACCTGGGTCAAGGCTGTCTCATCTCTCTACCCGGAGTTCTCACCATAACCTCCCAGTGGATCCTCAATATTTCACCGTCTAACCCATCCTTTACACTGCTTCTCAGACCACCTTCCTAAAAGTCAGCTCAGGTAATGCCATTGTCTTCTTCCAAAGCTTCTGAGAGTTTTCCATTACCTACAGAATAAATTAATTCCACCTTCCCTATCAAGTCATCTCAGGTCCTCCATACCATACTCACGGCTATCTGCCAACCCTCTCCTTATTTCCCTCCGAGAACCCTACATCCAACCTCCCTGAACAACTGCCATTTCTCAAGCACACCAAGTGCTCTCTGAACTCTGGGCCTTTGCAAACTGGTCCCTTGCCCTGGAACATGCTTTTCCAATGTCACTCTTGAGTCTAATTCAAGTGTTTCTTTCTCCATGCTCCTAACTATATTCCTCACACGTCTGTTAAAAATGTATTTCCCTCCGCCACTAGGATGTACATTCCTTAAGGGTAAAGGTTTTGCTTTGCACTTAACTTGAAATCCCTCACAATGCCCAGCATGTAGTATGTATTCCATATGTTTTCTAAATGAAGGAGTACATGTTTTAGGTGTGGCTAAATTCAAGCCAGATTTTATGGTGCAGTAATAATGATAAAACACTTTGGGGTCCAATGCTCTGGCAGCAAAGGGTCAAGGGCAGGCAACTTATCTGCACAAATATCTTCTCTACGACTTTGGTATTCCTCCACCTCTGCCTCCTGTGTCCATATGGTGACTCTATTTTACAAAAATCCAAGAATCACGTGATCTGACGCATGGTCTTAGCAGGGAATAGAATATATGAAATTATAACTGTCCCAGAAAATCCAGCCCATCTGGTAGGTGCTTTTTATTTTATTAAGATATAATTTACATACCATAAAAGTCACCCTTTTAAAGTGTACAACTGTACAGTTCAGTGGTTTTTAGCATATTCATAGAGTTGTGCAACCATCATCACTATCTAATTTCAGAACATTTTCATCACCCTAAAAAGAAAACCACAGACCCATTAGCAGTCATTCCCTATTCTCATTCCCTACCAGCCCCCGGCAGCCATGGATTTACTTTGTCTCTATAGATTTGCCTATCCTGGATGTTTCATATAAATAGAGTCATAAAATATGTGGCCTTTTGTGTCTGGCTTCATTCACTGATATTTTCTTTAGGGTTCCACGTTGCAGTATGTATCAATACTACATTTCTTTTTATTGACAAATAATATTCCATTGTATGGATATACCACATTTTGTTTCTCCATTTATCAGTTGATGGGTATTTGGGTTGGTCCCACTCTTTGGCTGTTGTAATGCTACTCTAGCTGCTTTTAACACGGACCCAAAGGCATGGCTTGCGGCTAATGAAACCAGCAAGAAGGGCCCTCCCTTACTGGACCTGCTGCCTGAGAGCAGCTTAGGAAGGAGCTTTAAAGAGAGAGACCCAAAAAGGAAGGGATGAGTGGAAGGCACTAGATGCTGTCTATTTGGGGGGCATCATCACTGGACAGCAGGCTGCCCTGGCAGAAAAGAGAAAGGATAGGCCAATCCCAGTCCGACTTACCTCCAGAAGTGATAGAAAAGTAGAGGGACATTCAGCCCCAGCGTGAGCCACTCTTGCGCACACAGGAACATGATGCAGAATAGGCTATGGATGGAGTATTCTGGCAGCACCAGCTGAAGAGGGAGCAGAGACACAGCCCTAGGTTAGAGGGAAAAGCCACTCCTTCTACGGCAGCCTGGACACTGCCTCTCACAGGCTGGTGACATGAAGGCCCTCCCTGCAGCAACACAGAGTCGCCAGCCCAGGACAGATCCATTTCTGATATATTCTTCTTTTCATGCCACTCTTCTTTTTATTATACCCAAACCCAGATGACACAAGCCCTCAGTGCACTACTTACTATTAACAGAGTACCGCACTTGCTCCTAGGGGGTCACCCACAGATGGCCACTGGGAAGACTAGAAGAGTTGGTCCAGCCCATGTGCCACCTGACCCAAGGCAGGACCACTAGGAGAAATACTGCTAGAGTTTCTAATGAATCCATAACTGCCCCACTCTTGTTTTTCTGGCTCCTGTGTATCACAGACCCAAAGTGAGTATGTACGATTATCACAAACATAGAAGGGTGAAGAAAACATGGCCCACCCCAGGAGGTAGGCATTTTGCCTGATGGTGGATGGAGAAAGAGGAACATAAGAGAAAGAACAATTAGCAATGATGAAGAAGGACACTGTAGCCTCTGGAGGAAGAGGGAAGAAACTGACCCTGACCAGGAAAGGCCTGATGCTAGGAAGTGAGCAGCAGGAAGACTAAGCTCTCCCGCCTCCAATCCAGCCGCACAGGTATAAACGGGTAAAAGGAGCTTAAAATCATTGAAAAGCCTCTCCCAAGGGTACATACATTTTATCAAAAATCAAAGTTGTAAGCTAAAGGGTAACTGTCAGGAAGAAATTTGGCCCCTAGGCCAGCAGTAGGGAAGGCTGCAGATATAAATGCATCATTTTACCCACTTATAGAGGAAGATGTAGACATACGTTACTAAATATATTTATTCATGTAACATATAAATGTACTTTGTATTGCTTAGGCTACCATGGATGCTTTGGTCTTCCCCTCAAAATCTTTTCAAACATCCTTGGGGGCCCATCTCAAATGCCACTTTTTTTTTTCTTTTTTTGTGCGTGTGATGGAGTCTCACTCTATCTCCCAAGCTGGAGTGCAGTGGCGTGATCTCGACTCATTCTAACCTCTGCCTCCCAGGTTCAGGCAATTCTCCTGTCTCAGCCTCCCCAGTAACTGGGATTACAGGCACCCACCACCATGCCTGGCTAATTTTAGTATTTTTTAGTAGAAACAGGGTTTTACCATGTTGGCCAGGTTGGTCTTGAACCCCTGACCTCAGGTGATCCACCCACCTTGGCCTCCCAAAGTGCTGGGATTACAGGCATGAGCCACCGCACCCGGCCTCAAATGCTACTTTCTAATGGGAGCTCTCCCCACCCCACCTTGCTCCCTTGTTCCTTCACCTTCCCCTGTACCTCTGGGCCCCACAGCATGTTTTCTGACCCTATCCCAGGAGTGCTTTCCGTAATCTATCCATTGTGGAGTCATCATCCTCTTCCCACCTCCCAGTGCAGACAGACTCCTCTGTCCAGCATTCTGCAAGCCATCTTAGCCAATGTCTATTCTTTTCTCATTTCCATTTGCAAAGCACCTTTGTACAATGCATGGCAGTTAGCAGACTTAACAAATACTTGGTAAAGTGCATTGACCTCACCAAGTGCACATGTTCGGAACATGGCTGGCTGGCATTAGATATCCAGCCTGTGGTTATGAACTAAGATTTCTTTGGGTGGAGAGCAAACTCCCTCAAACCACCCCATCTGGGTATGGACCATGACTTTGGTCTCTCACTTTAGTTAGCTGAGCTAACTATCCCAGATGGCAGACACAGAGGGAGAAACACATACGCACACATTAAAAATAAAGACATGCACAGCACACGTGTAAGACATTTTGTAACTATGGGGCAGCTCCTTTATTCTCAAAGACCAGTGCAGATGAATTGCATTAACCCACACTGTAGATTTCTCAGGCAGTCACCTGAGGAATCAGAGCAAAGGAGCCATCATTCCAGAAGTGGTGACCCTGGGTGGGTGAACCAGGCACAGCCAACCTCTGTTGAATCTCAACCACCTGGCAGGAGGGGACACGCATGTCCCTATTGTATCTCCTTATAGGACCTCAGAGCTGTGCTTACCAACCCCATCTGCCCCTAGCCAAGGCACCATCCTACCCCCTCCCATCCAAAGAAAAAAGCCCACTTTCTCAGGGCTGGGAGCACCAGCCCCGGGAGGCAGTGGCTGTGAGTTCCACTGCGCACATCTTTACATTTTCTAATCATCAGTTTCAGCCACTTAAGCTGAGGTAATTAACATGTTTGGAGATGATTCAGGCCCAGGGTGGGCCTGAATCATCTCCAAACATGTTAATTATTGCTCCATCTCCAATTCCAATTCCAATGATAAATCTCTGATTACAGTTTAGATTTCAGGTCCCACTCTTAATCACCCCTGCTTCATCTCTCTTTGGGGTTTGATTTATTGTGGAGGCTGCAACCTTTCAAGCAGGGAGGATTCATCACTGTCTCCATGTAAAGGAAAACTGCTTCGTGGAGGCCAGGTAGTCCCGGAGGTCTCCAGCCTTTTGGAGAGTGGGAAAAAAGCTGAAGAATTTATTCTGCCGTTTCAGGTGGCTTCGCAAGATGACCTCTTACTATCTACCACACTGAACAGGATCCTTACAAATAGAAGAGGCTCCTCCAATTATTAATCCAGGGACTTCTAGGAGTAATAGTGACTTTTTGATGCACACAGTGGTCCTTGCCTACTTCCCCAGCTGCTCCTTGTCACAACGATGTGGAAGAGACAGGGAACCTCTTCCTTCTAACCCAAATGGAAATCAGCCAGGTCATTTGCATGAAGCCTGTGTCATAGCCATTACAGCTGCCCTCCACTCACACCCAGCACTCAGCCTTCTGGAAGGTGGTAAGGTCTCATTTTCCAGCTCTCAGGGCTTGAGGGTGCCAATGGGCTGTGGGCCGAAGTGATGTGGAGAGAAGGCCAGACCATTTAACGGCTGATACAAAATGCTCCAGTCTCTTTTCCTTTTCCTCTGATGAAGCAAAAAGCATTTAGGGTGGTGGGTACGCCACAAGTAAGGAACGCGGCCCCCAGGCAATTCGTGATTGACTAGAGTGTGAGCAATAAAGAAACCTGTGTTGTTTTAAGCTGCCAAGAGTTGATGTTGTTTTTTTACCATGGCATGATTTAAACGATCTCATATGATACAGTCAGCAAAGCCCAGAATGAGTAATCAATGGAAAAAGCAAAGTTTTGTTCTTTACTCTTTATCCTCCCGCAACTGTCCACCTGGCCCTTCCTTAACAAGACATCGAGGCTGGCAGGATACGGCTCCCTGTCACCGGACATGCTCAGGCAGGGCTGAATAACCACCAGGCAAGCATAATGCTTATTCATGTGTGTGGGCAGCCAGACCAAGTGTTCCCTCCCAATTCGGAGAATATCTGTTACATAAAGACCACCCCTGAAGTTTCCAGGCAAAATACAGAAATGCTGATGCAAGCACTCATCACAGCCCCATGACCCTGAGTCATGTCTTAGCTTTGGAAAACACTTTTTTTTAATAAGAGAAGCTGTTGACTGGTGCCAATCTCATTCTTTCACTAACAAAGGGAGAAACTGTTTCATGCAAGCCACAGCCTATTGAATTGCCATGTATTATTATACCCTGCTTTCTAGAGTTATAAATCCTAAATCTCAATATGAGTGTTGTGGGATTACTGAAAGACTGCAATTCATTCCAACCAGGGGGATCATAGAAGGTTTGTGATCAAAGGGAAATTGGAAAGGGCGAGTAAACCTTAACCACGTGCAGGAAGTGGAGGCTGGCATTCTAGAAGTGGAACAGTGAAAGCAAAAGCAGAGAGAGATGGAAGTCACTGGCCTGGGGTGGCTCCTTAACAAGGCCACCTCAAAGGGCCCCTATTCAAGGACATTAATAATATCAGGCAAGGACTTCATCAATGCTACCTTTATTCCACCTGTCCTGACTTCCTGCCCAGGTGCTAATGGTCAGCTTTCATTTGCAAACATTTCCATCTGGATATTCCACAACCACTTTGTGCTTAAATTCACATTCTTCCCAGTACCTGCAAACTTCATCTCCTAAATTTCTGACTTCTGCTAACCATACCATCTCTGACTCCTCATCAATCTCCGTGTGAGTCTGTTGCCAAATCCTGCTTTTTCACTGCCACTTGCATTTGTTCCTCCCTGTTTATTTCTCCTGCCCCTATTGGTCTGGGCCCTGGACCTCCTCCCCAGGCTGGTGCAGAAACCTTCTAGCAGGTTTCCATCCCTGTTCACACGTGCCCTCCATCCAACAGAGCAGTATAAGCCATGCTCAGCTCAGCTCAGCATTAAGCCGTCATTCACAATCTTGTTTTTCTAGGAATTTTACTTACTTGTCTGCATTCTAAATATTTTATTTTTAGTTATGCATCCTCTCATTCATTCATGTATCCATTTGTTTGCTGCTTTATCCCATCAATGACCTGCAGCTAATTGGTACCCTTTATAGATTCTGAGAATAATGGAATCACGTGCCAAGTCCTGTCTTATTTTTACTGCTGTGGTAGACAGGGGCATTAGGGGTTGTGGGAGAGATTCTTCTTATGCCCGAAGGAAAAGAAGTAGAAAGGGGATGCTTGGAGTTGAAGCAAGCGAATAATGCTCCCTGGTGGAAAAAGGGAATTCCCTAAGACCAGGGGAAGGGAGAAGATAAGGGAGGTGGAGAGGCAGCAAGCGCCCCTGGTGTTGGAGATCTACCTGCTCCTGGCTCTCACCATGCATCCCAAGGGCATAGGATCTCTGAGGGGCTGGCGTCGGCATGCCTGGGAACACACATTAAAACTCACAGCCACGGAAGCCACGGGGAAGCTCCTGGAGCTGAGTTTATGAGAGTGGGAGCTGTGAGACTCAGAGTCTCCACCCATCTCTGAATCCCCCTGTCAGCTCAGACAACAAGCTTTACAGCTGTAATCCCGTAAGTCTCAATATGTTAGCCCAGTGTCTCAAAGCATTATATAAA